AACTGGTTAGGGTGTCACTGATTTGGTTCTGTATTGACGTATGTTGGTATTTTCAAAATAAATACCAATGCACATTAATGCCAATTTATTCTATATGAAAGGAAGGAAAGAAAAGAAAGAAAAGAAAAGAAGGAAGGAAGGAAAGAAAGAAGGAAAGAAAGCTGAGGATAGGAACATCTAATATCCTAAGAAAACTTAAAAAAAATACTCAGAAAAAATCAAGTCAGAGTAGGGTGTAGTAATACACTAATATATTCTGACATTTTTAAACAAGTAGCTATGGGCCTCTTGGCTAGATTTATTATGCACCAAAGAGAAGGGGAAGAAAAGGACTGAGGAGCTGCTGATATCCCAAGAAAACTAAACAAGACAAATAGGTGGGGGTGGTCCTAAAGCATGGAGGGGGAATGATTGATAGAAACACACACATAGGAAATCTTTATGCTACACACCTACATAGTACATGAATCAGCATGATATAACCTGACACTACTGTCCACACTAGTGGTTGTTTACTTGAGCAAAGCAGAACACAAATACACCACCATCTAATGGTGCTGTAAAAAATCCCAGAAGTTTTTTTGGTCCTATTTTGACTCTTTTGACACCAGTTTCAGACCTGCATAATGAGAACAGCATTCAAAGTACTGGTACCATTCATGTAAGACAAGCTGAACAAATGCTCAGCGTGGACAAGCTCATATACACTTTATACAGTAAGTAGTTCTAGGGCTTACAGTTAGACTGGGAGTGAGGAACTTTTGGACCTCCAGATCTTTTAAACTTCATAGAAGCCCCAGTCAGTATGCCCAATGGTAAAGGAGTATGTAGTTCAAAACTTCTGGAGTACCAAAAATTGTCAACTCCTACATTAGCTCATCACATAATGGATTTCTGATGTAAAACTATTATTCTATATTTACTATACATCATGCACATATTCACATTATCTTGTTTCAGAAATTTGCTGCTGAATATTGCTTTTCAACATCCAAGTGATATGCCCAGGATAGGCAACCCGTAGGCCTCCAATTATTGTTCAATATGAGCTCCCATCAGCCCTAGTCATCCTGGCCAACAGTGAGGCATTACATGAGAAGTAGTTGTTAATCAACTTCTGGAGGTCCCTGGACTATTCCATATATCCAAATAAAAAGGGCGCACATAGTGAATATGTAACATTATAATGTGATTTGCACATTATAATGTAAACTGATGGCTGCTCCTTCTCAAATACCCAAGCAGATAACTTCAAGTATCATTATTTTGAGATCTGTGGAACGAGATATGAAGGATTTTATCCCAATTTACTTAAATTATTTTCCTTTGGGTTTTTGCATTAATATTTTTCCATTATCTGTAGTACTGGTGACCAATGATTTATTTGCCATAATCTTACCAGAAGTGCTGAACTGCTGGAAAGAGATCATCACCACTGAGCTGTTTGAAGTCTTTCGTCTTTGCTGGAGGGAAGGTGGAGTACCACAAGACATGAAGGATGCAAACATTGTCACATTGTATAAGAACAAAGGAGACAGGGGTGACTGCAATAACTACCGTGGCATCTCTCTTCTCAGGGTTGTAGGGAAGCTGCTTGCCCGTGTTATGCTGGAGACTCCAGGTGCTTGCAGACAGAGTCTATCCAGAATCACAGTGGGGATTTCAAACTAATAGATCCATCATTGACATGATATTCTCCCTCCAACAGGTGCAGGTGAAATGTAAGGAATAACAACAGCCACTCTTTGTGGCCTTCATACATCTCCCAAAGGCCTTTGATTTGGTTAGCAGGGACGGTCTTTTTAAAATACTTCCCAAGATTGGATGTCCACCTCAACTCCTTAACATCATCAGGTCCTTTCATGAGGAAATGAAGGGCACTGAAGTTTTTGATGGCTCAACATCAGATCCCTTTTGACATCCAAAGTGGAGTGAAACAAGTCTGTGTCCTCGCCCTGAACCTGTTTGGGATTTTTTTTTTTTGCTGTCATACTAAAGCATGCCTTTAGAACTGCAACAGGGGGTGTCTATCTCCAGACTAGATCAGATGGAAATCTTTTGAATCTCTCTAGATTGAGAGCGAAGACCAAAGTCCAA